TCTCTCTCTCTCTCTCTCTCTCTCTCTCTCTCTCTCTCTCTCTCTGTCTTTCTCTCCTCTTTTTGAGACTGAGTTTTGTTATGCAGTTCAGGCTGGCCTTGAACTCATTTTGTAGCCCAGGCTGGTCTTAAACTTACACCAATTCTCCTGCTTCAACCTCTCAAGTGCTAGGATTGCAGGTGTGTGCCGCAACATCTAGCCTAGGTGTTTCTTTTATTAAAACTTTAACAATCGCTTTAATAAATACAAGTAGTTGAACAATTGTTTCAAGAACTCAACAGATGACAATTACTTCAAAAAGTAATTAATATTACTTTTTGCTTTTCTAGAAATGACATTACTTTAAAAATGTATCATGGGGAAAAGGGAGAGAAAAATACAGAAGAAAGGAGGAAAAGATGGAAATATAGTTGCTGTAAATAAGGAGGGGAAGAGGGACTGAAGGGAAGGGAATGGGAATAAAAAGAATCAAGTACAGGTAAAAATACTCTGGATGAGTGTGATCATTACATATACCTAAAATGTACCGATAAACTTGAAGATTTTATCATGTATAATGGCTCTTTCATTTTTGTTTTTTTTTTCCCCCTTGTGTTCTTTCAGCTTCTGGTTAGAGAAAAAAGAAAAAAAAAAAAAAAAGAAAATGTATCTAAATTTTATCAGTGTTAACTTCCTCTTACAGGGATGAAGAAAAGCACTCATGCTGAGGAGCTGGGAAGATAGCTCAATGGTCTAAGTGTCTGCCTAGCAAGCACAAGGTTTGATCCCTAGTACTGTATGCCGTGCTGGCTCCGGAACCGGGTGTGGTAGTGCACACCTATAATCCCAACACTGGGGAGGCTGAGACAGGAGGATCACTAGTAAAAAGTATATGGAGTTAATAAAAAATTTTTATACATTTTTTTTCTATGCACTTTTAAATTTGTGACAGTTTAATAAACAGGTTAAGTTAAAACAAACAAAATGATGGTTCACAACTTCTGGAGCTAGGTTGTAAAAGATTTGGAGCTTCCTTCTTACTCTCTTGGGTCACTTCCTCACTTCCTGAGGGGGCGGACCAGCTATCCCACCTGAGGACATGTCAGTTGACTCTGTGGAAAGGTCCACATAAAGCTCGGAGGCTGCCTGCCAAGAGAAACATAAAGGCGCCATCTTGGGAGCTGATTCTCCAGCTTCCCTCAAGCTTGATGACCCAGCCTCTGCGACAACTAGACTGTTGCCTCCTGAGGAGTCTTCATCCAGAACCACTCAGCCAAACCTCTATCAGATTCCTGAAACACAGCATCTATGTGAGATGAGTGCTTAGTATTTGCAGTTTCTATGATTTGGAATAATCTGTTACGTCCATAATAGATAACTGGCAGGCATGATGGCACACACCTAGGATCTCAGCGCTCAGGAGGCTGAGTCCGGAGGAATTCAAGGTCAGCCTGGGCAATATAGTGAGAACTTGTCTCAAAAAAGTAGATAAAATAAGGGTTGAGGTTGTCCATGGAATCATTGTTATTTCTTTGTTCATTGTCACCACCGGCAGCTGACCATATGGAATAGCGAAATGCCATTTTAAAGACTCAGTTTTGGTATCCTTTGAGGCTAGGTTAGCCTGTAGGTTTAGGGTGCTGTTTACAGGCGACAGTGTGAGATTCATACCAGTGGAAAATATAAGCTAAATTTCTTCCATCCAAAAATTTATTGAAAAAATAATTATTGAGCAAGCAAACAAGGGAATAAGCAGACACATCTCATAATCCTTACAAAATTTTTCTTCTCCTAGAAACACTGGGCTCTGCAAAGGCTTCTTGAGGACCAATTTAAGCTCTGTTACTGAATAAACTGACCAAACAGGAGTTTCTAGGATTCTGATGCTCTATGACTTTGACTATCAATAGAAAGTAGTGTTGCTGCTCCACAAAGATAGCAGGGAGGCCCTGAAGGCATTCGAGGAACAAAGACAGCAGGGAGGATTACAGATAGAAACACCTCTGTGAGAGGACTCTGGACTTTCTGCTACATCCAGCTTTGACAGTTAATGAAAGATGAAAAGTCTTACACAGTAGGCCTGTAAGGCAGTTGAATGTCTGACATGAAAGTTTTGTGTTACTATGTCAGGTCAACCCCCAGTGCCCAACCACACAGAACAGTTGGGATACCAGTGACAGACAAAGGGAACATGAGTTAGATTTTTTTTTTTTTTTTTCCACTGAGGATTGAACTCAGTGGATTTACAATGAATTATATAGCCCTCTTTTATTTTTTTAATATTGAGAGTGTCTTGCTAAGTTGTTAAGTTGCCCAGGCGAGGCTCACACTTTCAATCTTGCTCCCTCAGCTTTCCAAATAGCTGGCATTACAGGCATGTGCCACATATGAATTAGATCTTGGGTAAGGAAAACTACTAACGTCAACTAAGAGTTTTGGCAAGACCAAGAGGAACTTTTCTGGCAGAAGTATCCATTTGGGGCAGCCGTGGCTGACGTAGAACTGGTAGCACCCATGTCCAGTGATAGCTGTGTAGAAACTACACACAGGAACAGCCACGCCTGGGAAGTAGCAACCCTGCAACAGTTCTGTGGCATGATTTGGGTCACTGTGACTGCTGTGTGGTTTTCTGAGCTTGGGTTTCCAACAATTTTTTTTTTAAGAAATCCTTTATCGTTCCCATAACACTTTTTTTGGTGCCTCAGAAATTCTTGGCTTTTATTATTTGCAAATAATAATTGTGAACAAAACTAGATTCTAGGCAATCATCAGAAAATGTCTTGAACCCTGCGCTGGGCAGCCAACAGTCCTTTCTCCAGCTCTCCTCCATTTTTCTCTGTATGTGTACATTTTTCCCCCTCTCTTATCTTAGACCTTTGCTTCTTCATTTGTGAGTCAGCCAAGAGAAAGCTGCAGGCTTCTGGTTTTACATATATGTACCAAGTCATACTGAGAATGGTCTGCTGTGGTTCAGTTTCAGTCCCATATTTCTACTCTATCATGAATTCTTAATAGGCCCAGGTGTAGTAAGACACACCTGTAATCCCAGAACTCTGGGAGAATGAGCCAGGAGAATCACAAATTCAATCCCAGCCTGGGAAATTTAGTGAGAAAAATAAAAGGGTTGAAGATGTGCTCAGGTGTAAAGGTCTTTGATTCAATCCCTGGTGCTGCAAACAAACACAATGAAAAAGCAACAAAAATCCTCGACTCCCTGGGGAGGGAGTGATAGAGTATAAATTGGGTGGTAGTGGCCACACTCTTTAGAGTTCATAGACTATGGGGCCATCTGCAGAGAAAGATGTGCCACTGCATGCTGGGAAGACATCCCAGAAGTCTACGCTAGAGGCATGGAGCTCCTCAATCATGGCATGCTATACACTTCTCAATCTCTCTCTCTATCTAATTGCAAAAAAATTACCCTTTACCTCAGATGCCTTAAAGGATCAAACCCAATTTTGTACTGCTGCTTGTACCTCACTGTCCCTCTCCCGGTCTCCTGTCTGCAAATGTGGTACTAATTTTATGCAGTAAATGGCAAGCTACAAGAAATATGGGGGAGTGGTTTACTCAGATAACACTGAAATAGTCCCAGTCTCTCAGCTAAGGAAAATAAGAAGAAGAAAATCTTTTAATAGTTAACTCTTCAAACCCATAAATATAACCTGAGATCAGCAGGTTATGCAATTTTTGAGGTCTAAGGCTATATTATGTGAGCTATGTCTCTTATCAGATTGATTTAATCTCAAGTTGTAACCCAGGAATTAGAAGATAAACTTTGTGATCATTGTTGGCCCACAGGGACAAGGAAAAAGGTGGGACAATTACTTTGTGTTCATCTCTAATGAGACTCTCAGGGATCTAGTCCCAGTGGTTATGAATGCTACTGACAATAACTGTCTGATTCCCCAAACATCCTTGCTGCAGAGAAGGGTAGAGACATGACTATCTGCTCCTCTCTGGCGTGGAACCTGTTTGCGTTCCTGGCTCAGGACCTGTTTGCATTCCTGAGAATAAGGAGAACTTACCAACAACTCTAAGGTGAAGGGCACATTATGACACTAGCACTGGCCTCTCCAGGTTCGATCATGACAGTAGAGATGCCAATACTTCCTTACTAATAGTGGATATTCTCCAGGAACCGCCTTGGCTAACCCTTCTGTACCCAGGGAGCAATAGCCAGGTCTGTGAACCCATCTGCTAGAGCTTAAGATGAACACAGCAGTAATCATTTGTTTTTCTTGTCTCTGTGAACTGCCAAAGAGTGGGAGAAAGCTTAACCGAGAGCTGTATAATGGAGATCCATGTACTTTCAGTGAAGGGCTCCTTTCCTAACATTTAATACCATATCTTGGTAAAGTAAAAGAATGAGTCCACTGGGACCATTGTTATCCAGAACTGAGAGTTGAGAGTAGACTTGGCAATTCAAATAAAAGTTTGACTAACGTGACCATGGCTAGAGTAGGACTTGTTCCATCTAAGCACAGATCCTCTACATTTATTTTTTCCTTTTCTTTTTTTTTTAATGTATTTAGTGCAGGGTCTACAGGGTCTTACTACATAGATCAGTGACTCTCCTGTTTCCAGCCTCCGAAGCTCTGGGATTACAGGGGTGCATGACCATGCCATCTCAATTGTTGTCTTAGCAAGCACACTGAGGATCAAACCCTGGCTGCTGTGCTCTGCCTAAGCAGGTGCTTCAGTCTGCTGAGCTATTTAGCCAGCCCAGATCTTCTACATTTCTGACCTCAAATATTCTTCCTTGCAGCTGGACTCAGACTATGAGAAGCATCAATCAGTCCAGCATCTCGGAGTTCCTCCTCCTGGGCCTCTCCAGGCAGCCCCAACAGCAGCAGCTCCTCTTCCTGCTCTTCCTCACCATGTACCTGGCCACCATCCTGGGGAACCTGCTCATCGTCCTGGCCATCGGCACTGACTCTCGCCTACACAGCCCCATGTACTTCTTTCTCAGCAACCTGTCCTTCGTGGACATCTGCTTCTCCTCTACCACTGTCCCCAAGGTGCTGGCCAATCACATGCTTGGCAGCCAGGCCATCTCTTTTTCTGGCTGTCTCACGCAGATGTATTTTCTCTGTGTGTTTGCTGACATGGACAATTTCCTCCTGGCTGTGATGGCCTATGACCGCTTTGTTGCCATATGCCACCCTTTACATTACACAACGAAGATAACTCATCAGCTCTGTGTTCTGCTGGTGGCTGGGTCATGGGTTGTCGCCAACCTGAATGCTCTGTTGCACACCCTGCTGTTGGCTCGCCTCTCATTCTGTGCGGACAATGTGATCCCCCACTTCTTCTGTGATGTGACCCCCCTCCTGAGGCTCTCCTGCTCAGACACACACCTCAATGAAATGGTGATTCTCTTTGAAGCAGGGCTGATAATGATAATCCCATTTATTTGCATTTTAGTGTCATATATCCTTATAGTTTGTGCTGTCCTGAAGGTCTCATCTGGGAGAAGATGGACAGCCTTCTCTACTTGTGGCTCCCACCTGGCTGTAGTTTTTCTCTTTTATGGCACCATCATATCTCTATACTTCAATCCTGTGTCTTCTCATTCAGCAGAGAAAGACACTGCATCTGCCATGATGTACACAGTGGTGACTCCCATGCTAAACCCTTTTATCTACAGCCTGAGGAACAAGGACATAAAAGGCGCTCTTAGAAAAGTCATCATCATAAAACTTTTATCCACTTAAAAATGATTTATGGGCCAGCCAGATAGCTCGGCGGACTACAGTGCCTGCATAGGTAGGTGCAGAGTTCGGGGTTTGATCCCCGGTGTGCCATGGTGGCCCATTTGGCCCATGGTCCCCAGGGCACATTGAGACAGCGACTGAGACTAGGCGTGGTGGCACGTTCCTGAAATCCCAGAGTTTGGGAGGCTGAACACAGGCAGATCACTATGAGTTCGATGTCTGCAGTAAGACCCTCTAAACCCCGTACTAAATACATAAAATAAATGAAAATCATGATTTAGGCTAGGGAAATCATGGGGATGGAACTGATTTCCCAGAAAATTCTTTTTATTTTACGTGAAAATTAGTATTTATCTTTTGTAAAAGAAATATCTAGTATCTATCTTGGGAGAATAAAATCCTTCAGAAAGACTTTAAGTTAAAGATGGAAAAAGCCTCCTTGATCATCAGTATCCTGTCCAAAAACCCATTGGCAGCACAACTGTTGCTGAAAATATTCAGTTTATTGCCCATTACAAGAAAGGACAATGTGCACCTTTGGGCAATAGTGAGGATTCTTGCTAAAGGTGTGTGTAAGGAGCTGGGTGAAGTGATGTTGGAGAGAAAATGAGTCTTGTTCTAGATGGGATACTTTTGAATTTGTTAATACATCTCATCTGGATGGAAGGAGCAAAGGAAGGAAGGAAGGAAGGAAGGAAGGAAGGAAGGAAGGAAGGAAGGAAGGAAGGAAGGAAGGAAGGGAGAGAAACCAGAGCTGTGATTGGCAAAGAAGTTCAGCTAAACATATCAGCCCATTGGGTGGATACTTTGCCACTTTTGTGGCTAGGACAGTACTCATGGGTTTGTGCTCCATTGTGACTACAGATTGGTCTTAATTTGTCTTGCTGTATTAGAGTCACAGTGACCTTATTTGATACTGATGTTCTGTGGAATTCTGTGTGCCCCTCAGAGGAGCACCAAAACTGGTAGTTGTGAGATGAGGGCATCTCTCCCAGATGTTGGGGTTGGGTTTTTTTTTTTTTTCATACATAGACTTAGATCTAAGTGTATCTAATGGGAAGATCAGACTGGTAATAAGGCAAAAAAAAGGTATTTGTGTAGAGCTTCAGGAAATCCTAATTATTCTACTCATTTGGCCTACTTTCTTTTATCTTTTTGTCTCTAGCCTTCTTTATAGTAGAAATGTGGGTAAGTTAAATAGGGACTAAATATCTTCTACAATGTCAATATCTGGTCATGTCAATCCATTGCATCTTTTAAAAATTACTTTCATCTTCTATTCCATTTATATTAATATATGCAGGGTGTTTTTTTTCCCCCCCTTAGGTAGTAATTTATATTGTGGCTTTTTTTTTTTTTTTTTTGCAGAACTGGGGATTGAACTCAGGCCCTTGCGCTTGCCAGGCAAGTGCTTATTCTACTGAGCTATCTCCCCGGCCCCTACATTGTGGCTTTTTAACTTTTATTTTATAATAAAGCTTTTCCAAGTTACTATATACTTTCTACAATTTTAACATCCTTATATATATTTACACTTACTGGTAATTATGTTTCTGCATCAAAACATAAAGGGAATTTACTATTTAGAGGTATGCTTTATGTTGTTCCTGCCTGCAATACCAGCACTGGGGAGGCTGAGACAGGAGGCCCACTATGAATCTGAACTGGGTAGCAAGATCCTGATCAAAAAAAAAAAAAAAAAAAGAGGTATGCTTTAAAACTTATTTTGAAAATGATGGTGAATAAAAAGTTGGCACATTTAAAAGCTGATATTTTCTTGTCTGAGTTTCATTATTTTTACTATGATGCATCTGTTAGTGGGTTTCTTTGCATTTATGCTACTTGAAGGTGACCGAGCTTCTTGGATGTACAAGTTGTAGTTTTTAAAAACAAATTTGAGACTTAAACCATTATTTATTCAAATACTTGTCTCTCTCCCCTCCCCCTTTCCTTTTAGTATTCCTATTATGCATATTGGGTGTACTTAATACTGCCCATATTTCTTTGAGTTTTTGTTCATTTCTTTATTATCTTTTTCCTCTCTTCTTCAGTTTGCCTATACTCTAGCAACGCATCTTCAAGCTTGCTGATTCTTCCACCAGTTCAAGTCTGTTAAAGCTCTCTAATTTTTCATTTCAGTTATTGAATTTTTCAACTCCAGAGTTTTCATTTGGCTTGTCTGTCTGTCTTTCTTTGTTTCTTTTATTTGTTTATTTTTACCAGTATATGTTTGCAGTATATAATTATTACATTTATCATGGGGAGTTGGTATGTGTACCTAACCCATACGTATATGTACACATGTACATAGAATTCTTAATTCTACTCTTTCCATTCCTCCCTGCTCCTTCCAACTCTTGGTCTCCTTCCTATTTCATTTTTTCTTACAATTTTTTCTCTATTTCTTTTCCTTTTCTTTCCTTCCCCTTCTTTCATCTCTTGTTCTCCTATAAATTTGAAAAAGATCTCCATATTTCCAATATATCTTTTATTTTGCTCCCACTCTATATATTTGAGTTTCTCATATAAGAGAAGCTATGCAATACTTAAGCTTCTGCATCTGACTTATTTCACTTAGTCTATGGTGTCAAGGTACATCCATTTATCTATGAATGCCTCAAGTTTATCCTTCTTTATAGCAGTGTTTATACTGCTATACTGTTTGTACTAGTTTACATTCCCATCACCAACATAGAAGTGTTTCTATTTTCCCTCAAGCTTACCAGAATTTGTTGTTATTGATTTCTTAATGGTAGCCATTCTCAGGTAACTGAATTCAAGACCTTGAACCTTCCAGGAAGGTTCTTGTGCCACTGAGCTACATTCCCAAGCCCTCAATGTTGTTGTAATTTGCATTTCTGTAATGACCAGTGATGTTGAACAACTTTTATGTACTGGCCATTTATATTTCTTCTTCTAAGAAGTGGTTTTCATTTCAGGTGCTCATATTTTGATTGGATCTTTTGGTTTTTGGGAGGGGTCTAATTTTTTTTTAGTTCTTTATATATTCTAGGTATTAATCATCTGCCCAATGAATAACTGTCAAAGAAATTTTCCCGTTCTCCCCACTCTGTTGGTTGTTTACTTTGCTGTGCAGAAGCTTCTTAGGTTGGTATGATCTCATTTGTTGATTCTGGGTATTATTTGTTGTGGCATTGGGGTTCTGTTCAGAAAGTCCTTGCCTACACCTATGTCTTCAAGAGCTTTACTTATTTTATTTTATTTTTCAGCAAATTATCTTCTCAATTTGGTGTGACATGCCTTTCATCATTTAATCACTCTGTCCTTTACTTCTGAACATTTTATAATGTTCAAATGCTTTTGTTAAGTCTGATCCTTCTCAGGCTGTTTCTACTGGTATGGATCACTCAGCATAGGAACCAGATCAGCCAGATAGAAATTTGAATAGAGC